CTTGGCGGCGGCAGCGCCCTCGTCCTTCTTTCTCTTTCCCATTCAAAAACTTATAAACCCTAAGATTTTCTTCAAGCCCAACAATTACAGTCACCACCCCAAATCTATGCTTGAGGCTAAGGAGCTTCTGGGAGGAGAAGAGGGCGGTGAAAGAGATGGACCAATTTGTCTTAGCAGCTGGCTGGTGGAGTGGATCGTCAAGCCCAACAATATTATGGATAACCCGCAAATCTAACACCCAGCTGATAAGACAAAATGGTCCATCTCTTCCCTCTCCTCCCAGAAGCTCCTTAGCCTCAAGCATGGCTTTGGTATATAGAGCCCAAGAAATCTCTGGAGAATGGGCCAGCCTTGTGTCTTGGTACGCCAACTTTGTAGCCAACTTCCACAAGCCTTCCCATACACACAACTGGAATGAGAAAGCAGCCAATTTTCTTAGAATTTGCTTATCATAGCCACAGCTTTCTCACTGCCAGAGTTCCAACATTCTGCCACATCCTCTCTAAAAAATTGAAACTTTGTATCCCACCTCAACAATGAGAAGAGTGTCTAGAAATTTCTTCCTGAGCTCCACAATCTGCTGCTACAGAGGAGTAAGCTTCTCCTTTCCTGACGGCAAATTTCCATCACAGGAGGAATTTCCATTAGAAGCATCCTGTCCCCAATAACATTTACAAAATTTCTATACCTGTGTGCTTGCTTTAGATGTAGAAGCCAGGTTGGGGTATTGATTGGCTGCATTCTCAGCTGGTCGTTTAAGATGACACGGCAATCATTCTTGAAAAAGCTGGTGGCGGCAGTGATTAGTATATTTATTATAAGATTCTTATTTTATTTTATTAGAATAATATTATTTGTAGGTGAACCATATATTATAGCTTACTTGCTACACTAAATTTGAGAGGGAGATGGAAACTCTTTGGCTAACTATTTTCCTGTTGCATTTTTTAGTTATTATTGTTAGTTATTGCAAGAGTGAAATTTTTACAATATTTATTTTAGACTCATTGGTAGATTATAGAAATAATAATTACATTTTAAACATTTATGCAAAGGTTAATTTTCCTCCCTGTGAAAGAGAATTCCTTAGTGGAGCAACAAAGAAATTTTCAAATGGAAATCTCATTCTTGATGTGAATAAAGTGTTTAACTTTGCTCATTTGCAACTTCATATTTGAATCTTTAATTAATTCAACCATTTTTATCACCCACAAAGATTATATAGAAAGATGTAAATTATGGAGATGTCAGATGTGGATTGTTCAATACTACTGAAAATACATTTCTAAGTTTTTTTAAAGATAATTCCTTTAATTTTTAATTTTTATCAAGAGAATTTTTCTAAGCCAAAATTATCCATGACCTATCTATCTACAAGTGAAATTTTTTATTAAAGATAAATATATATTCATATCTCAAATTAGTCTAAATGCAACACTAAACATTATAAATAAGTTTATCTTTTACATAACATATGGATCTAATGATATAACTAATAGATACTATGAACCTGGTTCTTTTTTGCCAAGTGAATACATAATTTTAGAGTTTTTTTTATCATTTTAATGCAATTTTATGATACTCAAATTTGGATAAATATAATGCATAGCTTTAAATTATTTTACGACCTTTTTATTTATGTTATAAGTCTTGTATCAAGAAGGAGCATGCAAAATTGAGATTGCATAGTTATTTCCATTAGGTTGTAATACACTCTTTTTTATTAAACACCATTAACAAACCTAAAAATATAGCAATACAATTTAACAGAAAGCTTAATTTAGTTTTATTTTATCTTAGATTAAATTTATCGGCACTCAACATTTTTTATGCAAACTTTTACACTATACTACTTAATATTGTTTAAAGTCCTTTATCATATAATAAATTTTTATTAAAATGAAAGAATTTATTGATAAATTTTAATTACGGAAAATTGTAATAAGCTTCACAATTCTTAATGTTGGAAGTTAAAACTTTATAGGAAAAGTCAAAAAAACATTAGTGACAGAATGTTTACCTTAAACTTCATCTTATTTAAATCCAACAAAGTATATTTATTGGAATCAATTTTATCCTAACTCAAAAATTTATAACATATTTATTGATCTATTTTGAATGAAAATGATTATATATAACCTATCAACATTTAGCAACGAACTTTTATATAATAAAAGTTTAATACAAAGTTTTAATGTTGGTTCAAATAAATATATTAGTAACTTTTCATTATATAAATGGGAAGAAACTATGATTCGTTGTTTAACTTTTTATAACAATAGCTTGAAACATCTTATTACAAAAATTTGAAATATTTATAATAGGATTTGGATCAGTTAACTCTTTAAATAACAAAGTTCTTTTATAAATAAAATTATTTACCATATAATCTTGCATAATATCCAATGAATAATAAATAATAAATTTATTTTAAAAAAGACTTCTTACTTGTAAGAGCTTTTGTTTTTTTCCTTTCAGATTAGAGTGTATTTGCAATATTTCTTGTTTTATTTAAATCTTTTTTATTTTTGGTTGCCATATCTTTCTGAAAAATTAAATTATAAATTTATTTTAGAGATCTTAAGCTAACTTCTAATCCAAATATTTTAATCATAGTGCTAAATCTATGCAATTTATCATTTTAAGCACTTTAAAAGCTTCTATATTATCAATAAATAATTTATTTTGATAACTTGCTAATGTCCAAATTCCATTATCAATTTTTCTATCACATCACAGCCACATATTTTCCTTTATTCTGCACACAACTAAATCTTTTTTAGTACTTAATTTATGATTTTTACTACTAATTGTTTTATATATAGTTAAGAAAAAATTCTTAAATATTTGCATCTAATCCTTTAAAAATGCTACTGGCAACTTATAAAAAATGGAAGTTGATAAAATGTGAATATAAACATTTTTTATCATTAGATAATGATATTTGATCTTCTTGTCTAACAAAATAATAATATGTTGCCTATTGTTTTGGAGTCATCTATCCTAGTATTGGTCAAATGTAATTAGCACCATTAAATAAACTAATTAAAATTAGAATTTAATTTATGTTTTAGAAATAATAACTAAAATCTTACATTCTATTAGTAGACCTAAATAGATGATCCATAGGTAAGAAACACCAGTGACCAATACATATGCATTTTTATAAACTTCATGACTATATTCCAAGAATCCAAATCCACAGTCTAGGTAAAACTATTTTCCCATTAATTTGAAGTCTTGAACAAAATCATAATCGAGGAAAACCATGAATAAACTATCACACTGCTTCTCTAAACTTAAAAACCTGTTCACCCTCTGACTTACAATTATCTTTTCATGGCACTTTGTCGATCTGCTTAACCAAAAATAATGACCAATAAATATTAGGTACTAAGAAGTTTTGGGCCTAGAAAAATTATAAATATAAATATTTCATTTTAGTTTTTAGACTAATACCTGGTATAATCATAAAAAAATAAAATAAATGAAGGCTTAATTGCTAGAGATGGTGGTATATTATTATTAATTGCAACAATTGCCTATCATTAATATATTTTTGCCATTAATTTTATTGGAGAAAGATCATCTGTAGCCATAGTAAGATGTATATCTCTTGGATTTACTGCAAAATTTGGGTAATCATCTTCAAATTTTTTTTAAGTTGAACCATCTGCAGACATTTTCATTATTCCATTAATGGATCGATGATAAAATGATAAGCTATATATTGTGTTATTTCTCTACATTGAAATTATTATTGAAGTCAAGGTATAATAGAGATAAAATATAATTAATAATAAATTTAAATAATAAATTAATAAATATTAATTACCTTACAAAATGATCTGTTTCTTTTCTTAATATTCCAGTAATAACTTGCACATCTAGAACCCTTAAACAAGCCAACAAAATAGAAGCACTCCCCTTTATGAATAGGTAATAAATTGTCTTCATTTCCATGTAAAAAATCTTAGAAATAATTAAATACATTATCATCCTCAATATCATCATTGCCACTACTATTACCACCACTTAAATTAATATAACAATGATCTGGAACTAAAGAGCTTTTATCAATTTCAAAAAATTGTTATACTAAAGTAGTAGATCTGCATAATCTAATCCCTTAAATATCTTTCATTGAAAACCATCCATGTGGTGCTAAAGGATGTTTATCATAAAGACAAATATGATTTATGATAATTTGTATAAAGTAAATATACTTACTTCTACACCTTAAACACTAACATGCAACTCTCATTCCTAAATCCTAAACAAAAAGCTGAATACAGATCTGAGGAAGAAAACAAAGTAGGAAATTATATGTTAAAAGTGGGTACATTATACAGCTATTAGTAATTTAGTTGATGTAAATATTATTGAAATTTATGACTAAAACTTTTGGAACTACAAACCTTATGAACTTACATTTTAGTCACAGTTTAAAAGTTGTAAATTGCAACTCTAATTAGCAACATATATGAGCTTATCTAGCTTTAAAGAATATGTTACTACAAATTATGATTTATATTTTAGTTGTAAAGGACAACTATAATTTCCAACTTAAATTTGAGTAACTATAAAGCTATCACAAATTACAACTTAAAATTTGTAACTAAAGCCAATTTGCTACTTATAATGCTTTTATGGACTGGCAGAAGTCAAGTCTAAGTCTTGACCTGTCGAAGTCCACATTCTATCCACCGTGGCCAAAAAATCACCACAAAAAAAAATTGTGCAAAAATCTATGTTATGTAATATAGTTGATAGCCCAGTATACCAATGGCAAATCCCAAGTCCCCCACTTTATTGACTAGCAAGGCTTTCATTAAGGCCCTTTGCTAGTCAATAAAGTCAATAAAGTATTTTTACAATGGTAAAACCCAAGTCCCCAACTTTATTGACTAGCTCAATTGATTATCAAATGTGCGTGTAAACTCTGCAAAAAGAAGAACCTCATCTTTCATGATAGCGTTCACTCTTTGATGCTCTGATCCATGGCCATGTCTCTCGCGGATTTGCTGCTGCCTTTGTTTCTACTCGTCTTTCTCACAAGATCCCGGTCACAGTGCCCCACAAATCCATCCGCAATCGTGAACGACACACAGGTTCTTCTCTCTCTCCGTGACAGGCTTGGCATCAAAGTGTGGAACGAGACTGCCGATCCAAGAGCATGGCGGGGAGTGGAGTGGAGCTCGGACAACCAAGTGGAGGGCCTCGCTCTGTCCAGGTTTAATCTCTCGGGAGTTTTTCCTGCCACCTGGGCCGAGCTTCCATCGCTGGCTCGCCTGGACCTCTCGCAAAACGGCCTCTCCTCGCTGGAAGTCCCTTGCAAAAATACGCAGCTCAACCTCCTCAACTTGAGCTCCAATTCCCTGCAAGAGTTCCCCGGAAATCTCTCCAGCCTCAAGAGTTTGGAAAGCCTGGACCTCAGTGGGAACAACTTAACAGTGGCCAGACTCCCAAACTTTAGCTTGATGCTGCGATCGCTCAACCTGTCCATCAACAACTTAACTGGGAGCTTTTCCATTGGTGGTAACCTGGGACTGGAGGCACTGGAACTCTCGCACAACGGACTCAGCGGCTCCATTCCAGAAACTTTCGGGGAGATGACGAACTTGACGCGCCTGGACATATCGTATAACAGGTTTAGAGGAGATCTACCCGATATTTGGAGCAAGAACTTGGAGCTCAGGTACATGCGTATCTCCGAAAATTCGCTCCAGGGTGGTTTGCCACCGAGCTTGAGAAGGCTACGCAAGCTCTCGGAATTACACGCTGCATACAACTCTCTCTCCGGGCCACTGGAGCTGGAAGATAGCGACTTTGCAAGCATCGAGGTTTTGGACCTCGGGCTAAACGGGTTTAACGGAACGATGCCGGCTACGCTGGGAAGCTTGAGGAACATCAGAGAGATATGGCTCGACAGCAATAACTTGACTGGAACAATTCCAGGCGAGCTCTCGAAGCTCTCGCATCTCCAGAAGCTGGTTCTCATGGGGAATCGTTTTAGTGGCGCCATCCCAGGCGAGCTCTCGAAGCTCTCGCATCTCCAGCATCTCGTTCTCACCGGAAATCGTTTTAGTGGCGCCATACCTCCGGAGCTTGGGAACTGCTCGAACATCAGACAGATCTTGCTCGACAGCAATAACTTGACTGGAACAATCCCAGGCGAGCTCTCGAAGCTCTCGCATCTCCAGAAGCTGGTTCTCAGCAGGAACGACTGAGCTCGTCGTTCTCTGGCTGGGGCAGAACAAGTTCTCTGGAAATCTCCCTGACAGCTTCGGGAATTTGAGCCGCCTGCTCCTTCTGTCGCTTTCCAGAAACGATCTTGTCGGTTCAATCCCGGCCATATTGCAAAACATGTCGTCTCTGCAGTTCCTCTTCCTCTCAAACAACAGCTTCAGCGGCTCCATACCGGACTGGCTTCCCAGGCTCACGAACTTACGAGCCATGGACTTCTCGGGTAACAGGTTCTCTGGGGAGATGCCGGAAAGCATTGGCCGACTGTTTGCCAACGTCCAGCTTTACAACAAGAACAAACGGTCTGTGATGATTCAAACCGGGGGAGGACTCGTCTACAACGGCTTCGCCGTCCCGACCTACATAAACTTCTCCTTCAACCAGCTGACTGGAAGCATTCCAGCTGCCATTGGCGACCTCTACAAGCTCCAGGTGCTGGACCTGAGCCACAACCAGCTCATTCCCGAGTCCCTGGGGAAGGCAAGGAATCTCTCCTGGGTGGGGCTCGCAAGCAATCGTCTCAATGGCTCCATACCATCGTCCGTGGCGGACCTCTCGTTTCTCAGCTTCTTCGACGTCTCCAACAACAGCCTGGTGGGACGGATACCTGACAGCCCGCAACTCTCGTCCATGGACGCGGCTCTCTTCGCTGGGAATCAGCTCTGTGGCTTGCCACTGACCAACACCTGTTCGAGCACTGCTATGCCGCCACATAAGCTTAGAACAGAGGGACAAGGTGGTAGCGAACAGGACCAAGGAGGCGTGACAACACTTGTCAGCATCGCCATCTTCGTGGCAGCCTTCTTCAACGCGTTCTTCTGGACCTACTTTGCGGCAAACCACAGAGCTCATTCCCAGCTCTGTGGATGCTGGCAATCAAATCTCTAGCTCGTCCACCATGTTGCTGCCGTCCTTTCTACCTTCCAGTTTGTAATCCATCACGACCGCTTGATGAAGTGAACTCTTCTTATCCGCTTTCAAGGCCGCCTCCTGTATAGTCTTGAGCTTGTCATGATCCTCCCACAGCCCCGCGCTCCGGTAGATGCTCGCCATCAGAACGTACGCAGCCGAGTCATTCTCGTCGATCTTCGTCAGTGCCTCGAACGCACTTCCACTTACGGCAGGCCCCGAGGAGGCTCCTCCAAACCACAGCATCCGCTCTCAAAGGCATGCTCTCGAGGACTTTCAAGGCCTCTTCCAGTCGGTTACGAGATCCACCAAGCTGCTGTAGTGATGAATCCCGCAAACAATGCCAGAGTCCGGGTCCATTGCCTGGAAAAACTCCCTGCCTCGTTCAACTAGGCCGCCGTGGCTGCAAGCAGTGATGACCGAGACAAACGTGATTGCGTTTGCTCGTACGCCATCTTCTCGCATCTCGCGACAGGCTTCGAACATGCGCGACGTGTCACACTGTTGGCCGAATCCTGTGATCAGTGCATTCCAGGCGACGATATCTCGGACTGCCAGAGATCCAAACAAGTGCTCGGCCGCACTCATAACTCCGCACTTCCTGTAGAAGTTTACTCCCCACAACTTGATCGTCTTCCAGCCCACGCCTGTAAAGCTCAGCCTGGATTTTCCTTCCACTCCAAGAGTTCCAGCCCGAGCTCACTCTCACCGTTGTCTATATATCCCTGTATCGAGCTCGTCCAAACGACAACGTCCCGGCTAGGCATGCGTTTGAAAACTGCTCGAGCTTTCACCATATCTCCACACTTGGCATACATGTCCACCAAGCTGCTCCCGACAAATCTGTGCTCGCAGCGTCCAAACTTCGCGGCGAGAGAATGAATCTCCATCCCCTTTTCTAGGCTCTGGATTCGCACTAGCTTTCCATCTTCTCGCGGAACAGGTGGCTCGGACGCTGAAAGGTGGACGCAGGCCATGAGCGCAGCAACAAACGTTCTCTGGTCCGGATCGTTCTCCCGAGCCATGCCGAAGAACAGCTCCCAAGGCCAGCTTGCTGTCTCCACTTACATCGGCCAGCCATGCCATCGAAGACCTTGGGAGCTTCCTCTAGCTTCTCACACTTCGCGTACCTATCGATCAGAGTGTTCCCCACGAACACGTCCTCGCAGCACCTGTTGTTTGAAGCTTCGCTGTGGATAGCCACCCCGGTTTCCAAGCTCTTTCTCTTCACGAGTTTGCCGTCGACATCCACCGCTTCTTCTCGCATTGCCGAGCTCGCACAGGCGGCAAGCGCAGCAACACACGTCCGAGAGCTTGGACAGCACCCAGATAGCTTCATATCTTCGAAGAACACGAGAGCCAGCTCGCTTTCCCCGTTGTCCACAAAGCCTTGTATCAAGCTCGTCCAGAGCACGACATCACGACGAGGCATGCTCTCGAAAACCATCCGCGCGTCGACCATGCTCCCACACTTTGAGTACCTGTCACTTGGCTGCTCCCCAGGAAGATATCTCCACAGCAGTGGCTTTTCACAGCTCCATCGTGAACAGCGAGCTCCTTCTCCAGGCTCTTCGTCTTCACCATCTTTTGGTGGCCTCCTCTTTCACTGCTAGATTCGCACAGCCCTTGGCAGCAGCAACGAAAGTCCGAGAGTTTGGCGAGCAGCCCATCTTCCCAAAGAACTCGAGAGCGACCTCGCTTTCTCCATTCTCTACGTAGCCCAGTATCAACGCGTTCCAGGAGACCACGTCTCGCTGTGGCATCTCATCGAAGACCGATCGAGCATCGAGCATGATGCCGCACTTGGCTCGAGAGGAAAACGTCTTCGCTGCAAGACGGTCCCATCTGCTTGGCTTGAGAATGGATGCCTCTACTGGTCTCGAGACTAGCCTCCTTGACGAGCTTCCCATCGACCAAAACAGCGTCTTCCTTCGCCGCAAGGCTGCTACAAGCCTTGCAGCCCGACCGCCTGGCTTGCATCCTCTCGAAGAGATCCAGAGCCACATCGCTCTCGCCATTGGAGACGTAGCCCAGCATCAAGGACATCACGTTTGGGTGAAGAATGCTGTCGAACACACGGTGGGAATCCTCCATGCTGCCGCATTTCGCGTACATGTCCACCAGCGCATTGACAACAAGCTGCTTGTTCTCCGCCGCCTGGCCGTGGATCGCCCAGGCGCAAATTGCCCTTGCGCAAATCCCTTGTGACCTTCAACGCCGACACCTGCTGATCGGGCGCCCGCGGCGGCGCTGCCGAAGGAGCGAATGCCGGTGCGGCGCATCGAATCGCTGCCGTCGCCAAGTCTCATCCATCGCAAGAACCCTAAAAATTTGCTAGCAACATGGAAATTCAACCAAGGCCGTCGATTCAAGAATATCTGACGGTTGGAAATGAGTCGGGGACCATTTGCCTTGAAAAACCTTGAGGTACTCAGGAAAAATCGCCCTGTACAAGCCAGCGTAGCCTTGGGTGCGAACAATGTGCCTCAGAGCCGGTGTCCATCTCCGGTCGCCCTCGAGTTAAGTCGATCGGAAACACCGCTGAAAACAGGATCAAGCGTAATCGCTCTTAAGACTCTTACCTGTTGAGGCAGCGATTCGTGCTACTCCACCGGAGATCAAGCTCGTCACCATCCTACTCGGGCCTGAAAGTAAACATGCAACGCCAGGAGGCCTAAGCTTGTCAAAACTGTGTTTACCAATGCGATGGTGCTCTGTGCCTGTAAAGCTTTTCCAAAAATTTCTCACACTCTGAAACTAAAAATAATCCAACTTTGAGCCTTCCAGTAGTTGTAGAGAGTGTCATACAAGCAGAAGTTTATCGCAATCGTTGGGCCTATGGCAGGAGTCAAGTCTGTGGCATTTGGCAGGGAGGAAAACCAATACCAAAAGTGTCGGTCAGAGTTCCTTATAAAGGCTAAGAAAGCTCTCCTGTTGATGGATTGTGGAAAGCATGTGATAGATGCGGACACACAGCAACATCTACATGCAAGAGCAAAAAATGTTGTCTAGGGAACAACCAACAACAAAGATCACAAAGCTCAAGGTGAGGAAATTCAGGAGAAGAGTCAAAAACAAAATCCTGAACATGTAACCACCTTGCAGGTTCCAGACTGACAATTGTCAAACCAGAGTGTAACGTGAACATGACCCAGCAGGAGCAATCTCCAGCATCTCCATCGCACACAGCAACACCAACACAACTAGCTCTCAATGCCGACACCAACAACATGCCGCATCACCGCAAACACCACAGTTGAGAGCATCCCGAGCAGGAGTGACACTGCAAGCCTGAGCTTACACTGGATCTTAAACTTGGCATTTCTCCAGTCTGTGGACAAAATGCAGTGTCTCCAGTCAACACCATAGATGCCGATACCAGCAGATTTTGCAAGGCTTTTCCACAACAAGCAGATGAGCATTTTCATGTGAGACAGAGTCCAATCAACACCATTGTCTACCAGCCCCTAGATGTGAAGCTCACGAAGATCCAGAACCATATTCTCCAGCTCAAGAGGAGCATTTGAGGTACAACTTTCTAGGGATCTGTATGCACAAAGACTTAGTGCATGAACAAGGAACTCCCCAAGGAGAATGCAAAGCTTTGCAATGAGATCCAACAGCTCAAGGTGAAGCAGCTGTAGGGATAGGGTGCACTACAATAGAAGAACAAGTTCAAGAATGAGCTCTCTAGAGTCATAGCAACAATAAAATAGCTCAATGCCATGGAGAAGTGAGAGCTTCAAGATGAAACTCAATTCAGTTATGGGAGAAAAATGAAGCATAGAAAATCATCTTTATATTTAGAAACATCATCTTAAGTCTTGAAATTTAAACTTTGAGACTCAAGAACAGGAATGAGTGGCAATTGCCCCATGTAGAACTAATTAAAGGGGTGAGTTAAGACTCAAACTCTATCCCTTTCTTTTGTACTCTAGCTTTCCATTACTAATGCACGTCCATTTGCTCAAAATCTAAAGTATTCAAGTGATGCAAAGCTTATCTTTGCTCATGATTTCAACAAAAGCCTTCCTAAGGATTGAAGGACTCACGTCATTCCTTTTTTACTTTTTATATGTTTATTTGTGTCTAGCTGAAGCCAAATGCAAAATTAAGTCAAACAAGTGTAGTAATAAGCATCCACTCTACTCTCACCTTCTTTTCTCTTTCACTTTTATTTTCTTTCCTTTTTCTTTCTTTTCTAGTACAAGCTTTTAGCATACAAATTTTTACCCAAGTTTCTAAGAATGGCTTGTTCTGACCTTTAAAGGGATAATTGCAAAATACATGAACTTTCAACATTTAGATTGGGATGGATATTTACCGTTTCCTTAGTATATGTATATCATGAGGTATAAAGTTCCATTGGTGCTTCACTTTATAAACTTATATATGGTCATTATTCAATATTGCTAATGGATTTGAGTTTACCTTTGTGATTGCCATAAACTGCCAATACTAAATCTTGGGATCAATATTTGATGAACATTTTTTCACTCATTTGAGTGGAGTTTATTGAGCACTTAGGCTGTGTATAAGTGGGATAATAATAATACAACAACTTCCATCATTGTCCACTAGTGGAGTACAAAGTGGATGATTTGGTGTTAATCCATTTTCCCAATGTTACAATATATGGTTTGTCTAAAAGGCTCTTTATTTAGTGGAAGGGACTATATTAAGTGTTGTGGTAAGTTAAATTGCATATTTATAAAGTTTGGCAAAACATTCAACAAACTAATCCTCCAGAAATTATACATATGCAATAACTTAAACACTTTGTATAAAGGGGTCAGGCACCATTTATAAATCTACTAGTGCCTCCTCCTGATATTCCTCTAAATCCTAGCTTGTTAACCTAAAAACCTTAACTACCTTTCATCCTTCTAAAAGAATGTATAACTATGATGTTGTATATAAATATTAGTATAATTTTCAGACCACTCACTTCTGTATATAAATTATGATTTTTGGGTTAATTAAGATGCATATTTCTATATGCACTAAGAGTGCTACTTAAACTATAAGTGAGGCTAGGAAATAAACCCTTTTAATGGCATCTTTCTCAATATTAGCTCAGGAGAGTAATAAATAACTCAATGAAGTTATCAGTCTTTATACTTTTTCTTAGTGAAAATCTTATAACTTAATTATTTTATTAATACTATATACTTAATATACATATCTAATCAATATAATTCATTGAGAGTAGGTATAATATAACTAGTAAATTTTAGAAATATAATAAATTTACTTTTAAATAGGACAGAAAACAAAGTTAAATAGAGAATGGATAAAAGTGAAAATATAAGTGATAGAGAAGAAACCATTGATATTTTATCCACTTGAAAAGTTCTTCACCAGTTAAGAAATAATAAGCTTAAATAGAATATTAATTATATAGTATTTTAATTCCTTTAAAAATATAAATATCCTCAATTTTTTTAAGGGGAGAAATTAAGAAGCTGTAAGCTTCTGAATTTTGACTTCTGAGGAGGTCACCCAACCTATTATTATTCAAACCCAAGGATGTTTAACCCAAAATATCCTAAAACTCTTAACCGATTAAAAAAAAAGATACATTTTTATTCATGAGCCCTTTCCTTTTATATTTGAACCTTATGAACTGTCTTTCAAGTTATTCTTTTTAGTTGCTAAGAATCCACCACATTTCCCTGCAAATTCATGCCCTCATGAATGGAAGCTAGGAGCCACAGCTTTCCAGAAAGCCTTGCTCTTTTGATACTCTACCCCTCGAGTCGAGCCTAGTCGGAGCAAATTGAACCTGCCAAATATCAATTAACATGTAGTACAATTCACCTAACCAACTAACAGTGTCAAACCTAAGACTTTTTTGATACCAAATGTAACCTCTTGAATTTAAACTTCCCGGGAGAGGTCACCCAGCCTAGTACTATTCAAACCCAATGACATTTAGCCCTAAATATCCTAAAGCCATTAACTGATTGAAAAAAACAATGCACTTTTATTCATAAGCCTTTTCTTTCTATATTTGAACTTTATGGACTATCTTTTGAGTCGTTCTGTTTAGTTGCTAACAAAAGCATTTAAGGTTGCCAAATGGTATCACTTAAAAAACAAGCAAGTATATTTCTAGGGGCAATTTGTAGTGCATGTGGTTTTTACCTTAGTGATTTACTATACGATAATCATGAAGCGGAACCTAAACCCTTTATGTGCCACGTGTCATATACCTCATATCTAAAGTACAATGGTGTGGAACCTGAGTTTCAGGGTCTTGGGCCATTGAATAAAAGAACGGTGCAAAACTCTTAGGTAAGAGCATGGAGCAACTCTTGAATGTACAACTCAAGGAACGAAGGGACAGGAGCACGGAGTGATTTGAAATAGTCCTAGAATATCTAACATCCCAATACTAATTTACATGATAACAAAACATATGGAGTGAAAAGAAATAAAGATAGTTACGAACCTAGGACA